TAAAATAGAAAGCGTCCCCCTCTGGGGTGGGGGGTGGGAGGAGGCTCAGAGGTAGAGCACAGAGGGCAGTGGGGCCAGGGAAAAAAGGGCGCTGATGCCAGGCGTGGTGGCACATGCCTGTAATCCCAGCACTCGGGAGGCTGAGGCAGGAGGGTCGTTGTGAGTTCGAGGCCTGAGTGGGCTACAAAGTGAGCTCAAGGCCAGTCTGAACTGCATAGCGAGACCCTGTCTCAAAAAAAAAAAAAAAAAAGAAAAAGAAAAGGGTGCTGATACCTCTGCGAGGGCCACGAGGCTGCTGGGACCCCACCGCTTTGGAAGGCTCAGGCTTCCCAGCCCGGCCCTGGGCCCCTGGGTGGTCGGCAGAGCCTGGGGACAAAGCTAAGGGCGACCAGAGGCACTGCTGGGTCCCCCTGACCAGGGAGGAGGGCAGGGCCAGGCCTGAGTACAGGGGCCTGCTGGGCACCCCTGCGGCCTCTAGTCCTTCCCTGCCCCTTTCTTGGCTTCGACCTTGGCGCTGGGCTTGGAGGTCTGGGGCCTGGCCAGGCAGTCGGGCTGGGCCCTGGACCTTGTGCCCTGACTTCTTCAGGCTGTTTTGGGGGCTTTGCCCCCTAAGACGCCCCAGCTCCTTGCAGCAGCTGAACGCCCTGCTGTTGCCTGGGGCTGGCACACATAAGAACTGGGCCGGGCGGGCAGTTTGGCCTTCCGTAGCATGGGAGCAGCCACTCAGCTGTCCTCCTCCATTGCCAGCCCCACAGCCCGGCCAAGCCTGATGCGGGCCGGGCCCTAGGACCTCGCAGACCCCTTGGGGACCCCACACAGGGCGCTACATTCCTGGGAGACCCCGACTGCTGGAGGAGACCGTTCCTCAGCCTGTAAACTGCATCTCCACAGATTTCCCCGAAGACAGAGGGCAGAGCTGGGGAAACAGGGTGCCCCTAAGCAAGAGAAGCCGCTCAGGACCCACCCTCGCCTGGGCGCCGCCCATGCACACGTCTCCACCTGAGGCCTCCTTGCCCCAACCCACACTTCAGCCTCGGTCATGTTCCCTGTCGCTTCTTTTGCTTCTGGCTCAGCTCACATTCCTCCCACAATTATCACTATATTATTATTATTAATATTATTATTATTGTTATTTTGAGGCAGGGTCTTTCTCTGTAGCCCAGGCTGGCCCTGACCTTCAAGTGATCCTCCTGTCTCAGCCTCCTGTGTGTTGAGATTATGGGTGTGGGCCACCACACAGGCTCTTTCTTGTTTGCTTTTTGAGAAAGGGTCTCACTATGTGGGGCAGGTTGGCCTGAAACTTGCCATCCTCCTGCCTCAGCCTCCCAGAGGGCTAGGATTACAAGCACTGCCACAGCCACGGTTTATTTAATTAATTAATCAATCTATTCTCATGGACTTACTACTAAACACACTGTATTAGGTGGATCTACCTAGAAGAAAAGAATAGAGCATTACCAGAAAGCTTCGTGAAACTCTGTGTTGGTCAGTTTGTAGCTTTTTGGTGCTTGTGCAAGTTTTATTTTGTTGTTAGACAGGGTCTCAGCAGGTAGTCCAGGCTGGCCTCGAACTCACAGTGATCCTCCTGCCTCAGCCTCCCAAGTGCTGGGAGTATAGGTGTGCACAACCCGCTATGGATGCAAATTTCCCACAGGGACAGTGTGGTCTGCAGGGATTCTAGGGACGGCACAGCGCTCGCAGGTTTGGCCGGCTCAGGGCGCCCTCTCCTGGCCGGTGGGTTCCAATCTGATGAGCTCAGAAGACCGATGTCCAAGACCCCCGCAGGCAGCTGCCCGACCTCTGCCCGGGGCTGCCCTGTGCCTGTGAAGTCGCTCCCCGTCCTCAGACTGCGTGACCCTCACCTGCGGGTCAAAGGGCTCTCAGGGCTCCTCCGGGAACATCCCGAGACGGGTCCCTCCAATCACTGCGTGGTCCAGGCGGGGCCCCAACTCGCAATACTTGAAGTTTCCCTTCACTCTGAATCGGAGGGGAGTCGATGGAGGAGCCCGGGCCTGTTGTGGCCGGTACTCGGATGTGTGAAAATCTCCCGGAAAATGCAAACAGCCCGGGTGCTTCCTGCTCTGTGAGGACCCCGCGCACCGGGACGGAGCCGGCGGCGCAGGACCCAGCGGCGCCCCCTCTGCCTTTCTCACCTGCGTCCTCGCGCGCCGGGTCTTCTAGATGAACCTGCTTTCTCTCCCTTCCGCGTCATTCTCCGCACGGATGTTCTAACCTTCCCGTGCTCCTGTTTGTCTTCCTGAAACTATTAAAAAGAAAAAAGAAAAAAGAAAAAAGAAAAAAGCTCAAGGTTAAAAAAGAGCGAAACGCAGGCGTGCAAAGCACGGAGCAACCACGCAAGCGGCAGCGGCGGGGGCTGGGGACGGAGGGGGCGGCGCAGGCCCGGTGCTGACCTCGGGGACCCGGGAGGACACTTTGGACTCCGCTTGAGGAGGGGCCACGCTGTGGGGGTGAACATGCATTTGCGTGTGTGTGTGCGCGCGTGCGTGTGTGCACGCGTGCGTGTGTGTGTCGGGTACACATGATGAGCGTTCTATTCCTGCATCTATGGTAATAAGAACTCTCAGCACAAAACTCTCTTCATGGCTGCGTAATGTTCCCGTGTTAGAATCAAAGGCAGTGTTACTTTCAAAGGTCAGAGGTGCCGGTTCCTTCGGATTCTTTCCTCTCTGCTCCACGTGTAAAACAGAACCCCCCCCCCTTTCAGGACGAATTATCCATGAAGTCTGCTCATCCCAAAGGCTAGCGTTTTTATTTTTTTGTAAATGTATTTATTTATCTTTTTGAGACAGGGTCTCGCTACTCAGTTCAGGGTGGCCTCGAACTCTCAATGATCCTCCTGCCTCAGCCACCCGAGTGCTGGGATTACAGGCGTGCACCACCACTCCAGGCAGGGTAGCATTTTTATTTATTTTTTATTATTATTATTTTTTATGCGATACTGGGGATCAAACTCACAACCTGGTGCTTGCCAGGCAGGCACTTATGCCACTGAGCTATATCCCCACCCCAGGTTAGCTTTTTAAAAAGCTTTGCATATATTTGCTGTGGTGGTGGTTTGTGTTGCTTGGGGTGTGTGCGTGCGTGTGTGTGGTGCTGGGGATTGAACCCAGGGGCTTTTCACTGAACTACCTGCCTCATCCTTTTTATTTTGAGCCGGGGTGTGTCCGGGCTGGCCTAACCCTCCGGCCCTCCTGCCACAGCCTCCTGGGTGCTGGGATCACAGGCTGCACCACCTCGCCCGGGAACAATTCCTCCACAGCAGTTTCTGGCATGAGAGTGAAGCTAATGTCCACCTTCAGATGACAGGTGTGCTACCTGAGAGAGACGGCCTCGCTGTCACTCTGATCGTGTTTCCTAGATGATTGGTGCGTCCGGCCCCGTATTTTTTTTTTTTTTTCCGGTACTGGGAATCGAGCTCACGACCTTGCGCTTGCCAGGCAGGCGCTGTACCGCTGAGCTAAATCCTCAGACCTCCCACCCCCCGGCCCGTATTCATGTACGCGTGTGCTGCTTGCACGTCTCCTTTTGCAAACGTTTCCGGGTCTTTTGCCCGTTTTCAAATCAAGCTGCAGTATTTCTCTTCTTGCTGCTAAGCTGTGGGTGTCCTTGATGAAACGTGGACACGAACCCCGATCACCCGCCGAGCCCGCGCGCGTTTCCTCCCGCGCAGCCTCTCTGCGCTCCGCGGGCGGCTTCCCTCCCCGGGCGGAAGCGCACGCACTTCCGGGACCGTTTCCGGGACCGTTTCCGGGACCGCTTCCACCCTTTGCACCTCTGCTTCCTAGGACTTCGCCGGATCAGGGGAGCCTCCCGCAGACCTCGTCCCGCGCCTCCTCCACTGTTTTCTTCTGGGAATTTCACAGCTTTGGGTCTGGTCTTTGCGTCTTTCACCCCTTTTCCAGTTCTGTCGGGAGAGACGAGGCCCCGCCTCACTTTGGTTTTCTGCCCGCGGATACCAGCGGTCCAGCCCGCGCACGGGTCTTCCCTCCTCGCGTGTCCGCGCCTGGAGGAGGAGCGGGCGCGTGTGCACCGGGGTCCCTTCGGGCGCCCTGTCTCACGTCTCCGCGCGTGTGTCTGCACGCGCCCCGCTGTGATCGCGCCTGTGTCGCACGGCGCGCGGTCAGGGCGCGGGGCCGGCGCCTCGCTCTCCCGCGCGCTGGTTCTCAGCCGCCGGGCGCCCTGCGGCTCCGTGTGGGCTTCGGGGCCTTCTCTCTCTGTGCAAATGCGGCTGGGTCATTTTCCTCGTTCTGAGCGCGGCGCGCAGGGAGGCTTCACCGCCGAGAACGTTTCCTCCTTGAGCCGGTCGCACTCCTTTCCCGGGCTGCCCTGGACGTCAGCCCCGCGGCCGCGGGCCCCAGCACTGCGGATCTGGGGCGCCCACCGCGCCACGCTGCCGCGGGAGTCTCCATGGAGACCTAGAAGCCGCCCTCGCTGTCCCTCGCCCCCGCACGCCCCTCCTCCGCTCAGCCCTGTCCCCCTCGGCCGGCCTCCTCCTGTCGCCCGCACCCCGCCGACCTGAGAGGGGCGCTGGCACTGCGGCTCCCTGTGCCCGCGACCCCGCCGAGCCAGCCGGCTGCCCCCATCAGCCTGTGCCATCTTCACGTCACCCCGCGGTGCCCCTCACTCGGGAGCGGCCTCGGAGAGGACGGCGCCGGGCGGGGCGGGGCTGACGGGCCGAGGGGCGTCCTCAGCGTCAGGGGGTCGCCGAGCGGGGCGAGTTGGCCGCGATCGAGGGGGGAGCGGAATCTGCTGTGAAATACAAACACACACAGCAGCTCGCGCGCGTGTCCCGTACAGAGTCAGCGAACACAACAGCTCAAAGCTTCTCTTCGGACTGGGGATGTAGCTCAGCCGCACAGCGCCTGCCCGGCAGGCGCAAGGTCGTGAGTTCGATTCCCGGTACCGGGAAACAAAACAAAAGTTCACTTCAGGCTGGAGTGCTGCTAATTCTAAGGGAGAAAAAAACAGAACAACTCAAAATGGAAAACCGCAGCGTGGGGGCCGCTGAGGTGAACTGGGGTCACCGGGGCGCAGCTTGCGACAAGCCAGCGCTTGCAGGGCCTGGCTGCGCGTCCAGCACCTCAAAATAGAGAAAAGATAAAAAACGAAAAAGGCTTAAAAACAGAAAAATGCAAATATCTACCATTAGCGATTAACCAAAAAGCACTGCACCTGAGAAGAATTAGCACAGACCGCAAAAGAAAGCAACGCAAAGCAAAACAAACAAAACCAAGACGAAAACAAGCGTCCTGTGGACTGGGCGGCGTCAGAGGCTCGGCGCGCCCCTGCTGCGCACTGCGCCGCAGCGCACGGGAGGAGCGAGGGCCGCGCTCCTCGGGGAGACACTGCAGCCGCGTTCAACCTCTCGGGTCCTCGCGCCCTGTCGGCTGGCGCACACCCCTCAGCCCGCGTCCCTCGGTCTGTCCGGGAAGGACTCTCCGGGCTCCTCTGGTGACGCCGCAGCCACGCAGCAGGCGGCCGGGAGCCAGGCGGAGGTCCGGGTCGGGGAGGGGAGGAGCCTGCGTGTGGCGGGGTGCGTGCACGGGCGAGTGGGGGCGGGAGCCCAGGGGCCGTGGGAGGAGGGGCGGCTTCAGTGTCCTGGGAGGGCTTATTCCTCCTCCTGTCCGTCTTTCCGCCTCCCGATGCTGCTCTGCCCCCTCCCTTCCCGCTCCCCCCACAAGGCAAGGTGTGAACACTGGGAATGAATGAGAAGAATCCCGATCATCGTCCACCTCCCTGACAGGTGTGGGGGGGAAGAGAGGGACAGCAAAGAGATCCAAGGAGCTGGGGCTCTAAGCTCTCTGCCCCCACTTCCCTGTACACACACACACACACCCTCAGTTCCTTCCCCTCAGCCTCTGCTCAGAGACTCCCCATCTTTCTCAGCAGAGCTCAGCCAGGGGCTGCACCACAACCCTTCACCCGGAGCTGGGCGGCCTGGGCGTTGCTCGCAGGTGCCGTCCTCCCCCGTGCGGCCCCCACCTGCCCTCTGCTCTCCACACCACACAAGCTCATTTGCCTTTTAGGGAAAAAGTCCTGACAATGGATCCTGCTTTCCAAGTACTGACCTTTAGTAGGCTCTGCCCTGTGCCTCTTTAAGCTTGCCCTGGAGCCAGTGCTAGGACTGCCAGAGCTAAGGCAGGGAGAGGGTGGGCAGGCAGAGCAGGAAATGAAATTATGTGAGATGAAAACTACGGGATCCCTCCTCCCTGCTCATCCCAGAGACAAGACTTGGGTTTCCCAAAATGAGCAGAAGAAAGAGCGTCCAGGAAACAGCTCTCAAAGCAGAGAGGCTGTCATGCATGCAGCAGCCACTGAAGCCTCGGGGGACAGTGACAGGACAAACACCTGCCCTGTCAGGGACCAGACACGCAGAGCATGCGGACAGACTCCCTGGGAGAGCGAGGTCTGGCCGACCCTCTACAGACACTAAGAAGCAGGGAGCACACAGAGGCTGGGGTTGGGGGGGCACCCAGGCTGCACCAGGCTGACCTGGCCACAGGAAGCC